TTTAGTATTAGGGGGACGTTTAGTATTAGGAGGAAGGGATTATGTTAATGGATATGCAGTCACTCAGAACAATTTTCTGCAATAGTTTATTTGAACACTTGCCCTGTTACCAGTCTGCAGTGTGGAGTGGACAGTGTAGAGTGTGGAGTGTAGAGTGTAAGTGTAGAGTGCGGAGTGTGGAGTGTAAAGTCTGGAGTGTAAAGTGTAGAGTGTGGAGTGTAAAGTGGGAAGTGTGGAGTGTAAAGTGTGGAGTGAGGAGTGTGGAGTGTAGAGTGTGGAGTGTGCAGTGGGTAAGGTGTGGAGTGTGGAGTGTAGAGTGTGGAGTGTAAAGTGTAGACTGTGGAGTGTGGAGCGTAAAAGTGTGGAGTGTAAAGTGTGGAGTGTGAAGCGTGGAGAGGAAAGCGTGGAGTGTAAAGTGTGGAGTGTGGAGCGTAGAGTGTAAAGTGTAGAGTGTAAAGTGTAGAGTGTGGAGTGTAAAGTGTGAAGTGAGGAGTGTAAAGTGCAAACTGTAAAGTGTGGAGTGTAAAGTATATAGTGTGGAGTGAGGAGTGAGGAGTGTGGAGTGTAAAGTGTAGAGTGTAGAGTGTGGAGTGGAAACTGTCGAGTGCGGAGTGTGGAGTGTAAAGTGAGGAGTGTGGAGTGTAAAGTGTTGAGTGTAAAGTGTAGAGTGTGGAGTGTAAAGTGGGAAGTGTGGAGTGTGGAGTGTAAAGCGTGGAGTGAGGAGTGTAAAATGTAAAGTGTGGAGTGAAAAATGAAAAGTGTAGAGTATGGAGTGTAAAGTGTGAAGTGTGGAGTGGAAAGTGCAGAGTGTGAAGTGTGGAGTGGAAAGTGTAGAGTGTGGAGTGTGGAGTGTAAGGTGTGGAGTGAGGAGTGTAAAATGTAAAAATGTAAAGTGTGGAGTGAGGAGTCAAAAATGTAAAGTGTGGAGTGTAGAGTGTAAAGTGTACAGCGTAAAGTGTAGAGTGCGGAGTGTGGAGGGTAAAGTGTGGAGTGTAAAGTGTGGAGTGAGGAGTGCAAAGTGCAAAGTGTAGAGTGTGGAGTGAGGAGTGTAAAGTGTAAATTGTGGAGTGTAAAGTGTGGAGTGTGGAGTGTGGAGTGGAAAGTGTAGTTTGTGGAGTGTGGAGTGTAAAGTGTGGAGTGTGGTGGAGTGTGGTGGAGTGTGGGGTGTAGAGTGTGGAGTGTGGTGGAGTGTGGAGTGTAGAGTGTGGAGTGTGTAGGAGTGTAAAGTGTGGAGTGCAAAGTTTAAAGTGTGGCGTCCAAAGTGTAAATTGTGGAGTGTAGAATGTAAAGTGTAGAGTGTGAAGGGGGAGTGGAAAGTGCAAAGTGTAAAGTGTAAAGTGTGGAGTGAGGAGTGTAAAGTGTAAATTGTGGAGTGAGGAGTGTGGAGTGTAAAGTGTGGAGTGTAGAGTGTGGAGTGGAAAGTGTCGAGTGTGGAGTGTGGCGTGTAGAGTGTAAAGTGTGGAGTGAGGAGTGTGCAAAGTGTAGAGTGTGGTGGAGTGTAGAGTGTGCAGTGTGGAGTGTAGAGTGCGGAGTGTAGAGTGTAAAGTGCCACCCCTGCCACGCAAAACGACATGACAACCTGCTTGGAAACCCTTGAAAAGGAGAGATTTTGCAGCTTCCCCCATAGACACGGCGACGCCGCAGGAAAACCAGAGACTTGAGACGAGAGATGTGGGAGCATCAAAACGAGCCTTTCGTGCGAGACTTCCTCCAATTTTCATACTTTGTAGCTTCAAAACCGACGTTTTCCTACGAGTTTTCGTACGAGCCTTTAAATTTGCTACCTCAAAATCGATGTTTCGTGGGAGGCTTCCGTCAATTTTCAGCGCATCTCACAAAATGCCACGTCTGCCACGGAATTTGCACCTTGTCTCCACTTGACGCGGCCCTGCCAATGCGATTCGTAAAAAACACGCAACACGACGCGTCTAAAGTGCTGCGCCTGCCACGCAAAATGACGATGGACACGTCCAAAGTGCTGCGCCTGCCACGAAAACTGCAACGCATTTTCTGAAAACGTCGCAAAAGTATTGCGCATGCCACATAAAATGACTTTCGACACGTTACAAAACACGTCTGAATGTCACGAAGTGCCACGCCTGCCACGCGAAACGCACAAATTACCCCTTCTGGAGAACTTACCAGAGGCACGGCCATATAGCAATCGCGCGGACGGTTGCGAGTGGTTGCGGACGGTTGGGCAACGGGAACCCTTGCTACGCATTCGGGAAAGAAAGGGAAAGGAAGGGAACGGAAGGGACAGGAAGGGAAAGGAAGGGAAAGGAATGGAAAGGACGGGAAAGGAACGGAAAGAAAGGGAAAGGAAGGGAAAGAAAGGGAAAGAAAGGCAAAGGAAGGGAAAGGACGGAAAAGGAAGGGAAAGGACGGGAAAGGAAGGGAAGGAAGGGAAAGGAAAGGAGAGGTTGATTTGGAAATCAGCCGCCGTCGCATGACCGTGCTCAGAACGAAGATTTTGCCCCAGAACGAAGATTCGGCGGGTCCGGCTTCAGAAGAAAAAAGGTGAGGACCAACCAACCTGACCATGGAAAAAAAATATGGAAAAACATTATTTTTAATGGGGCCCTCACTATTTCTATGGCCATGGAAACCATGGCTATGTTAAATAACCAGATGTATAGATGCGGCAGTGGCTTGGCAATTTTGTAGGATACGATACCCGTTTTTTCCCAAAAGTATCTCCGATGCTTGGGGTCTCGTTTAGTTTCTCGTTTGCTGCGGGGGAGCGATACGTAGTGTTGGACGGAGATGGGAAGGAAGGAAAGAAGGAAGGAAGGAAGAAAGGAAGGAAGGGAGGAAGAGGAAGAGAAGGAAGGGAGGAAGGAAGGAAGGGAGGAAGGAAGGAAGGAAGGGAGGAAGGAAGGAAGGGAGGAAGGGGAAGAGAAGGAAGGAAGGGAGGAAGAAAGGGAGGGAGGAAGGAAGGGGAGGGGCAAATAGCTTGCGGACAGCTTCGCCGGGAGGGAGCGAGACAGCATGCTGGACGGAGGGGAAACCGTGGAAATAGCTTGGGGAGAGCTTCGCTGGGAGGGAGCGAGACAGCATGCTGGACTCAGAGGCTTTGACACAGAGAAGTCGTTTGCACAAAACAAAACCTTGCTTCTGTGTAAAACGTCCTCTGTGTGTAAAAGTCTCTGTAGAGCTGAAAAAATGAATTTTGCAGTGAATGCGCCCATAATATTCATCTTCCAAAAAGGTGCTGGCAAGAGGCGAAAGGGAAATAAACCAATTATTACTCGAATTTGTTTGCTGTCGTTTTGCTTTTGGGTTCTCAGGCCCCCCCTTGTTTTTTCAAAGTACAGACAATGCATGTAAGCACGAACCTTTCTCAGCAGCTGCAGCATGGGAACCTGTTCGATCCCAGGATGAGATGGAAGACATGGAAGGTACCGGAGGGCGGCTTCACGCAGAGCGACATCTTGAGCTGGATAAAGACATGAACCATTAAACATATATACCAGTGGTATGTATCATTATATTATCGATCATTATATGATTTATATATCATTATATGTCATTATACTACCACCGTTTGATTGATCATTGTCATTATACTACCAGATTGATTGTTGATTACTATAAGCCATAGATACCCATCAACGAACCATTGTAATGGGATGGGGCTATTGTTCAGGGCTCACATGGTAAAACATGCTCAAAATATATCAAAATATGTTGAACTCTTGGGAGGCCATGGATGATGATAAAATCCCTCCAGCGTATCACTCCATGATGAATCCCCTTGTCCAGGCGAATTGGAGTCGATGCTTCCACCGCAGAGTGACAGCTCCCCCATGATGCCGGAGGCGCTGGTGACAGCCCTTCCGCCGGAGGATCCCCGAAGTGCGGTGCTGCGAAACCTCGGACAGCAATGCGACTCTGACTCATTAAGTGTGTGATGTGTATGTAATATACACATGTACGTGTGTATATCTGAATACAGTTTAGCCACGTGTACGTATAGTTAATAAGATATTTCATATATATATATAATGTATGTGAATGTATGTATATAGTATATACGGAAGATACTAATTGTCGTATGTAATATAGACCTCAACACACAGCTGAACATCGGGAGCTGTCCATCTTGCTGAAGCAACTCTTTGGCTTTTGGGGACTGTCCCACTGAAAATATGTAAAAAGTACATCCCCAAAACAACGGATTTCATAGTGTACATACCATTTTTTTCCCATTCTTACATGGTCATTCATGTTCACATTTTTAAAGCATAAGACATGTATTCACTTTCCGTATGATATTTTCAACAACAAAATAACCATATTCGGGTTTTGTTTGAAAACATGGTACCCAGATTTTGGTTAATCCTCATATTTACCCATTCAAAGTGCATGGTTTTTCGCATGGTTAAGTAACTACCCATTTTCAGACAACCAAGTGCATCACCGATCAAACAAAATCACCTCCGGCAGGTGCTTCCACGGGAGCTGCGACGGCCACGTAACACAGGCAGCTGGAGGGGGATTTGGACCTATGGCCACTGAACAGGATATAGTTGATGCATGTTGATGCTTTTATGATAGTTTCAAATGTTTCAAATAGTCTAATCCCTGTTTGAGCTGCTGCTGCCGCTGATGATGATGATCCCAGTTGACGACGTTTTGTTGTGGGATTCGTTGAAACCACAAATGAACATAGGTTGTGATGGGCACTGCAGGTACAACTGACATATCCCATTGTGCTTGAGGCGTGCTTTCCATTTCCAGATGCCGTTACAGTGTAGCTGTGGCAGTTGACCTAAAGATGTGCGTTTTCAGACACGGGAAAGCTGGCTATGTTGCAGACTCGACTCCGTGTACTGTATCAATTGATAGTGTCCTACCTGCTGGGATGGTTTTTTGACGGTTTTTCACGTTTTTGCAACAAAGATTGCTGGCTTTGGCACGGTAGAGTTGATGCAGGTTCAGTAAAGGCATGTATTTATTTATATTATATATTAAGGTGTTTGGATCAGTGTCCCCACAATTTAGCATTTGCTAGGAATTGGATTTCCAGTTAGTTGGGATGTATACCCTCGGGTAATTTTAAGCAAAGTTATGGCAAATGGACCAAATGGGTTATTTAGTTTGATGATTTGATTCTCCATAGCTTTTCACCACGTAAACAAAGTTGCCAACTTGATCACCACCAGGCTCCAGGACGTATTGCATCCACATTCTTTTTGCTAGGATATTGATCTCACTCTCTCTCTCTCTCCATGTACACACACATATTATATATATAATTATATATATACACATTCAGATACATGATCATACTTGTACATTTATGTATATATATATATGGTGCCATACATACATATATACATTTATATGACGAAACAGTCTCCGCTGCAAAGACGGTATGAGTGCTGAACACATTTGGGTGCTTTTGGCTGGCTTGCAGTCTGATCATCCGCAATGATTCCTGGAAAGAGAAATTGCAGCAGATTCCAATGCTTTCTGCTGATTTTGTGTCATTGCGCCTTCCTGGTCATGTTCCAGACATCATCATGTGCTTTTGGTCGACCCAAGCAACCCTCTGGAAGTGAATTGCGAGAAAGGACTGGGCAGGCTACCAGACGGAAAGTCAAAGACTCTGTAGGCTACATGACTGAAATCTCTGACTCGGAGAAACAACTGCTGACAAGGATCGCAATTGCAAGCGAGAAAAGAGACTGGGACAAGGTCCAATCACACTTTGCAACATATACTGGAACGGCGACACCAATCTACAATGCTGTGATGAATGCTGCCCTCAGATGCCGTAGATATCGAGAGGGAGCCTCAACTTACGAAAAGTGTCGAGAAACTTGTGACGATTTGACAGAGCAAACTTTCAATGCTGCTCTCAAGATTTTTGGCAAACTTGGTAAATCTGAAAGGGTTTGCGAAATCTGGGAGCAAGCCCGAAAGGAGTGCGAGCTCTCTTACATGTTGGTTGCATCTCGTATCCACGCTGCAGCAGATGGTGATTTTGAAACAGCGGCTGCAATGTTGGACCTCCTGGCTGGGGACCAAACCAGCACCGTATTGTCGCTATTACAGCTTTGATGGGAGCTTGTGTGACAGCTCCTTTAGAGGACGTCCTTTCAGCAAAGGCAGAAATGACAGCCCTAAAAATCCAACCCAACAGGGTTTTTGCTGAGACCTATGTGACCAGTCTGCTGCAACAACGCTTTAAGCACTTGACGGGTCCTGCTGCAATTGCAGATGCTCTGCGCGACAAGCCCGCAGATCGCCTGCAAGCAGCTCGAGTAGCTTTGACAGACTTTGAGACAGCAGGAGTGGAAGTGACTGGTTTATGCAAGATTCTAAATAAAGCGTTGCTGCTACTGAAGAAATCAAAATGATTCAATATCATGGCGGAATGCCCATGTAATCGTGCTGCTGGTGTGATTCCGAGTGTTGAGATCTGAAAGATGGGCTATGTGCAGCTTCTTGCCCTCGAAGATCATGTTTCTGAACTTGTTTGAGGCAGTGTCTTTTATTCTTCAAAAGACAGTGCAATCGACAGTCACGTCAAAACCGGGCGAGCCCCAAGATAGCTTCAGTTCACACCAACATTTTTTCCATGTGCTTTGTTTGTGAAATGAGAAATCTGGACCTTTTTGGCAAATCCGTAGAGAGTCCTTTTTCGTTCTTATGGGAGTGATTGGGGACCGCAGCATGTCGTAACGAATTGAAGAAATCGCGCCTGGGTCGGGTTTTGTCCTTGACCAAGATTTCATGGGTGCAACGATGTGCAGTGCACCCTGAAGGCAACGAGTTTGATGAGCCCTTGACTGGAGGCAGGACCTTCCAGGTGACATGACTTGGTCGATAACTTGTGCCTTTGTGCCTGAAAGGTTTTTATACCATTTTATACCTTTGAATCACCGAGGATCCCGCTTCACTGTCTGGGTTTTCCGAATAATTCGGGTTCCAACTCGTATCGAACATGAACTTGCTGTTTTTTGTAGCCCCCAAATTAGCAAAACAGCTTTGTTGGCAAAAACACATTTATTTGTACATGCAAGAGACTGTTTGAACCATTTTTTGGGCGTGCTGTATTCACAGGACCCATTCATTGGGTCCCCAAATTCGGCAGGCCCTTCTCGTTTCATTTCATGGAATTGTTACCCATTTTGTTTGTATCGTGCCTGTTTTCGATGTGTTTATTCATTCTGTCCCCATCTCACTAGAGCTGAGCATTTTTGGGGCGGTTAAGCTTGACATGGGTATGAAGATGGTATGTACATGACATTTGGCACCCTCTTAATCACCCAGCATGGGCTCCGGGTTTTCGATTGCCAGGTTAGACTGCCTGATGGTATTTCGTCCGCTTCTTATCATTGTTTTTTCTGGTTCGTTCCCTGTTGTATCCCTTATTGTATCCCTTATCCGGTATTTTCTTAAGGTGATTGTTAATTTCCTATACAAAAACTAGTTGTTGTTTATCTGCCATGTGGGTATGGATCAATACCTATTAATACCATTTTTAGGGGAATGAACATCCATTTACCAGCTATTTTGATGTGCACCAGGGGTACAAGGTTTTGACACGCTGCCATGTGGCTTTGTGAGAAAAATGAATTATCCCGTTCCAAATAACTCCATCCGCTGGTTCATCATCATTTTCCCGGCGAGAAATTGGCCACTTGGTGGTAGACCCATGTGGGTAAGGGTCAATAAAAAACTAGGCAGCCCTAAAATTGGATGGATAGACGGATAGCCCTGAAATTGGAGGGTTATCTAATATTGACTACAGATTTGAGATGATTTTAGTACTATATTTTAGGGCTATCCAATAGTAACAATAGTACTAAAAATCGACGAACATCTTTTTCGTCCCCTTTGGGTCTTAAATGTTGACCAGGCTCACGCTTGCGTCGCAACCTGGCGCGGGGCTTGGCGGTCTTGTGGGGGAGCCAAGAGGTGATGTTTGCATTTCTGGATTGGGTCAAAACCTAGGTGTTCCTGACATGGGTGGATCGATATCAATCAGCAGGTGTTTTGAGATACCACTACTAGGATGGACTTAGATGGACTTAGGATGATTTAAGTATGAACACCTGCAATGAACAAGCAACATACCAGCTTAGGCAGACTGTTCTTGGGACATCTTGGGACATCAGTCCGTGTGGGAATAGGTTGGAATTTGCAGTGGCCATCTGATCCTGTTTGATGGAGGATCCGCCCCGCAGACTGGTCCCAACTGGGCGATCATTCAGAGACTCGCAGCCAATCTGCTCAACAGTAGAGAGTTTGGGGCAAGCAGCACGCGTCCAGTGTGGTTATTATGGCGTGCCCTATCTTGTTATGGCGTGCCCTATCTTGGACAAAATCAAGCTGGAATTTTATGATGAATCCAGCCGGTGGATTTTTGCTTCACATGTTACTTGTATCACTCACTCACTCATTCACTCACTCACTCACTCACTGGATTTAATTGAATGTCATAGTATCAAGAATATGGTGTTTCCAAAAATTCAGAGACTCCTCCGGATAAACAGAAACGACTCATTTGAGGCATGGTTGGGTATACATCCCAATCTCAACAGAGGGACGACCATTTCGCTCAGAGGGCAAGAACTGGCCGAGCCCAGCCAAGCCCAGCCAAGCCCTCCAAAAAAAACAAACCCAGAAGTAGTTGTAGCTGTCAGAATGAGCGGAAAACTCGCCCAGAAAAGGGGTTGCATGGTGAACATCTATATAAAGGGTTTCTTGAATCCTGAAACTTAAGCTTGATGAGCGGGCGATGCAGCCTTCTAGTCGCGACCAGCGTCTGGGGCAAGGGCTATGGCAAGCGCCTATGCAGGAGCAGATCGTGGTTCTGTACTACTTGGATGTGATGTGCATCAAAATTGAGAAGTGGTTGCAACCATAACCCAGTTATGATAGGATCTACTCCGCTACTCCCGTTTACATAGAAGTTGTATTATCATATTATCTATAGTTACTAGCTGGAATGAACATGCAAGTACAGACTGCGCCAACCGAAACTGGTTCCAAGTATATATTTTGGACAGACAAAGCCATGGAGCGCTCTCGCTTCTGGTAATCTAGCAAAATGATCAGGACATTCCCTGGCTATTGGATGATTTCCGCATTGGACAGCTTTACAAAGGGCCAGACTTAGCGCTGCTTATACCGGTGGAATTGCAATCCCAGCACAAGTGGGATGATCTGTGAAATCTGGAAATGGAGAAAAAGCTAGAGGTGGTATCCCAATTGTACAATTGTACAAGGATATCAATCTTGTAGCTATCCATGTATATCGAGTTCCTCCTGGTTGGTGGTTTCAGATTTTTTTGATGAACAAAAACCTATTCTAGCATTATTTGAGATGATTCAAACTGAGGAGCATATTCTGGGAGGTGGCTTAAGTGGCTTAAGCGCGAACCTTCTGAGTTTCTCTTTATAGTACATATCAGTGGAAAAAAAAACATAAAAGGAACATCTGCATGCATCCCCAAATTTTATCAATTTTTTGGATTGACACTGGCAATTAAATGGGTGGCTGACTTAAAGAGCCTTTCTTCAGGGCAAAATCATCCAGGAACATGTGGTCATTCCAGCAAGGGATGAGCTGGTCAGATTTTTTCGATCAGAAAAAACCATGTTGAGGTATCCCCTGATGCACACCCATATCAATATAGTATATCATTTTGTATATGGATGTGTGTATATATATAATATATATATATCCCAAGTGTACCCCAAGCAGTCAAGTATCTCCAAGAATTGGTTGGAGGGAAATGTTACACCAGGAAGCCCAGGCTCCTCATTTAGGGCATGAAAACCCATGGTTTCTTGAGATCCCAGGATCAGATGGACGGTCAATTTTAGTTGTTCTATTTTTTCACCCTTTAGTTGATGGGAAAAACCAGAGTTTCAACATGTTTCAACCTTAAATATGTCCTTCAGCCCATGATTATAGCCACGGCACCCCCGACTGATGGCAGGATCGTCATGTTAGTTGGATGGTACATCAATCCAGTCAAGGTGGTGTCCCCCACTTGCAAGTTGGTTTGCAACCCCCGTTCACTGTGTACATACATCTACCATAAACGGTCAACCTAGTGAGAAACCAATTATTCTCCATGGTTTGTTCATATTTAGGTTCCCCAAAAAGATCCATTTTCCCCTTGAGTTCCTGCTCCGGAAGGAGCTGCCGCCCTGCAACTTTTTTCCGCGGCAGCACTATGCCGTGGCGCCCGTGAGTACTGGCGATGCGCTGCTGCTTCTGGGGGGCAGATGCTCGATGCCAGATAATGGATGATAGTAATAATAATGACAATAATAACTATAATAACACTATTACCAACATTACCAATATTACCAATATTAGCAATATTAACAATATTAACAATATAAAGAATATTAAGAATATCAACCACTATTAACACTATTAAGACTATTAACAATATTAACAATATTAACAATATTAACAATATTAACAATACCAACAATACCAACAATACCAACAATAATAAATAAGTGGTTATACATCTATAGATACAGCATACATATACTATATATATATACAAATATGTTTATATTATATATATATATTCACATATGTATATATATATATATATATATATATATATGCACATAATAATTGTAATAATATTGGTAATCACAATGTAATAACAATATCATGGAAATCAGAGGGACTTGGTACCAGGAAAGGTGGCTATCTAGCAGGGATTTGAAGAGTCCACACCTTGGACGCCCCGGAAATGGCACAGAATGGCTGGTTCTTCTTGGTAAGAATCCAATTCTAGTTGTACCAGTTTGGTAGTGCTGGAACAGTTTTTTTTCAACACTGACAGTGCAGCCCTTTTTTTGCATTTGTTGATTGCATCAGCCGCTTTTTCCAACTACCATCGAGTTCGCATTTCTTTTTCATAACTTATCGCATCCCATTTCATCTTATGCAATCTATAATACAATTACATCTATACTCATATCTATATCTATATCTATAATATCCATATCTATATCTATATATATATCTATGTCTACATCTATATCTATATCTATCTTATCTATAGCGATATCTATATCTATATCTAATCTATATCGAATATCGAATATCGACTATCTAATATCTAATATCTATATCTAATATCTACTATCTACTATCTACTATCTAATATCTAACATCTATATATCTATATATCTATCTCTATCCCTATCTCTATCTCTATCTATGTCTATATCCGTATCCATATCTATATCTGCACATTGTCTATTGGTTCTACAGTTGACGCCCCCACGGTTCACCACTGTCACTGAAGGTAATGGCCACCTTCACTTCAACGACATTTGGGGCGTCAAGCTAATCGGCCAAGGTGCAGAGCTTGGAAATTAATGATTTGGGGTTCCCCCCATGACTGAGGAAACCCGCATGTACCAGGAAGATGGAGCAAACAAACTATGGACTTGATGATTCAAATGGGATATACTCATCAATTTCTAGTGGTTTCAACGGGGATATAAACAGTAAGTAATGATGGACACGTGCACAGATCAACTGGAAGTATCAAACTGAAAAAAACCAACTGAACTACTAGTAGCATTTGATATTTCTACATCTGCATCAAAGGCAGTGCTTATTTCTTCCAATTTTGGGAGCAGCCTAATGATCAACAAGTGGGATGATGATCAAGACAAGTTGACTGTAATATTTTTTAGGACCGGTAACGCTCAACCACCAACCCCATGAATTTTGTGATTCATCTCATCTCCAGTTCGTTGCTTTATCACGGATCCTTTTTCTGATAGTGTGTTCATGAATAGAGGGGTTAATGGTTAACCAACCCCCTTCACAATCAATAGCTTAATGATGATACATATTGATAAACTGTCTCCCGTACCAGGTACCAGACTGGCCCGAAATATTTTTTCCCCTTTCTCAGAAGGACATTGCGAAAATATCGCAAAAAAAAATCGTTGAACACACCAGCACTGCAGGCCCCAATCAGACTCTACATTTTTCGATTGGTTCTTCCCCATTTGCTGCTGTAAGTCCACTTGAAACTGGTGAATCCATGTGAATCCACGGTTTTCTCGGGAAAAACAACTACTAGATTTACTGGTTTTCCCAGTTGGGATGACAATTTTTGACTACATTCACTGGTTTCACAAATGGTTTTCACAATTTTTGAGTCAATCCACCAGAGTTCGCCAACTCTACAAAAGTGTGCGAAATTGGTAAATGCACATAATTCCTCGGCAAAATCACATGGAGTTCAATCTATGGGGGTACCCCGAAATCATCCAAGTCACGCATGACCATGACTTAGTCTTGAAACCCATGGTGACTTGGGGATCCCCCATTTTAAGAACCCCCATATGATTACTGGTGATACCCCAATATGGATGGTTTCCATAAATGGGATCCCCCAATATGGATGGTGTATACTGGAAAATCATGGAAAATCCTATTGTAACATTAATGATTTGGGGTTTCCCCCTATTCATAGAACGCCTACCAGAAAGATGGAGCAAACAAACTATGGACTTGATGATTTGAATGGGATCTATCCATATCGAACCATCAATTTCTTGGGGGTTCAATGGGGATATCATCCGTAATGGAAACGTCTTCCAGATCTGGAAGATTCTGGAAGTCTCAACATTTTCCCCAAAATCAACTATATGAACATCTATGAATATCTATGAGCTATTAGCATTCTATATGAGCCAAAACTCATTATTATGGAAAATTATAAGATAGTTAAGCAGTTAAACCATCTATAGCCATCTATAACCATCTATAACATTCTATAACCATCTATAACCATCTATAACCATCTATTAACTAACTAGATAACTATTAGCTATCTGGAAAATCCTAGGTGCCGATGCTACCTGGCAGTGGAGCGAGGTGTCGCCACATAATGATGGACGCCGGGACCTGGCGCCTCCGAAAAAACCTGAGAACGGGGGATGGGGAATTTTGCATGGTCATCTTATTTATTTTTGATTAATTATAGCATGGATTAGTTATAGAATTATAGTATGAAATTGGGATTTTAGGGTTGTTATAGTTTTATCACTATGAAATTTTAGAATTTTATGACGTGACAAATGTGTGTTAACCCACGGCAATCGGATGACATGGGAGTTGTTTATTGTTTAAATCGATCAATATTGAATACTATTGAATGGTGGATGATGCTTGAATTGGAATCATCAATCAACTGGGTTCATCACTAGGATTGAAAGTGGCTAGGATTCATGATGTTTTGATATGTGAAAGGAAGTGAGAGCCACTTTGGGGACCCCCAAGGATCTTCAGATTTCGGAAGAAACTGCAGGATCCGAGAATGGTCCAGGTTGAGTGCCTTTAGCTACAAAAACCAGGTGTTTCCAGTTTTTTTTTTTTTTTCGATGCTTTTCTCTTAGAGCAATCAAGTGATGGATTTGGTTTTGTTGACTTTGAGACTTTGATCGTTTCTGGCTAGTGGGACTGTGATTTGAAGGGATCGGAAAGCATCTTCAGTCCCCTACCGTGGAAGCAGAAAAGTCTTTTGACCCACCGAACATTTAGTTCATTTTATAGTTCTATTATTTTCACATGCTGTAAAATGTCCATTTATCAGGATTTTCCCTATTTTATATCAATCGCGAAAATTCTTCTTTATATATATATCAGTTATATCCCTGCTATATCCCCTGAGAACATCTCTATGATGGTTGCAAGGTGGGCCCCCCAGTGATGAGTTGTTCCTTTTGCTTCCATTAACTATAGATTTCGTTACATCTACCATAAACTATATATACTATATAGAATTCACCAAAAGTAGAAACCAATGAATATGTATAACACATAACTATAAACCATATAGTACAAGTATGTAGTATGTACAAGTATCTTCCAACCATATCATATCTATGAAATCATAATAAACCAGAACTATGAACCAACTTAGCTACATCCCAAGTGCCCCCCCAGAGCCCCAGGACGGTCGCTTGTTGCTTTCCAAGTGGCCCGGACGGGGTCGTTTTGCCACGTGCGTGGCGTCAAGGCCAGGGGTCTCCACTGCAATCTATGTGACTGGGCGAGACGGGATTTTGCTGAACACCGGAGGATTCTACCAGATTCCTGGGTTTGTTTAAGGTGATTTTTTATTTTCCCAATGGGAAATCCACCATTTGGGGAATCTCTAGTGAATATGTTTTACCACAAAAAAGTGGAATTTCACTGTGAAAATGGATGAACATCGGGTATTCAATCCCGTCAAGTTGCGATTTTGATGATAAACCATATATGATTAGAGGGTCTCTTATTTTCAAACCCAGATTTTCATCATGTCACCACATATGGCTATGGATCAATACCTATTAATACCATTTTTAGTGGGATGAACATCCATTTGCCAGCTATTTTGATGTTCACCAGGGGTACAAGGTTTTGACACACTGCCATATGATGGGTAGTGCCAAACCCCGGGCTTCGCGCCGAGGTGACTGGCGGCCAAGGCGCCTTCTGCTTTGAAGATTTTTGGGCGTCAGAGGATGGAAGACAGTGGCACCTTGGACCGGTGATTTTTCAGATACAAAAAAGGGGATGAACATGGATTAATACTGAAAAATAGTGAATAGGATGTTAATGGATGTTTTAATGGGATAATAGCAATCTGAAAAAAACATAGATCATAGAATTGGCATCTTTTTTGGTGGCGACCCAGCCCACAAAACAAACCAACCTATCAACGTTCAGCACCAAAAGGGTACAACAAGAGTTTACGGTCAATAGTTGTTGGCATGTCACAGGTAGGCAAGGTATGGCAAGGTCCACCCCATCGAATTTCATCCATCCGTCCATCTAAGGATTTTCTTCATATTTACATACGATACAATCCGCACTTTACAAAAACAGTATAATTACATACAATACACATACAAGCTTTTTGTAAACAGCATGTCGTCCTAGCTGACACATATGAAACTGTTCTTGTGAAGTTTTCACCGCCGCTGCATCATCTTTCTCAGGTGACTTGTCGAGCACGAGGGGTTGAAGGCAGGGGGCAGTGGCAGTGGTGTGTTTTTTTGGTTGCAGACAGCCAGGTAGCTCCGCAGTTCTCAGCACTTGCCTTCAACGCCATCTTGCTTGCCGCCCTTGCTGACGCAACGCCGTGGTTGTTTGCTTGTCTTTCCTATTCTTTCCCCACACTCGGAAGAAGTGAGTGACGTGACGCGCAGCGCCAAGCGCGTCTAGGCGCCCTACCTCAAGCCCGCTGAATTGTCACATGGTGAAAAACGCGTTTTTTAAGACCTCACGGTGCTAAGGCTCAAGTTGCTAGGCGTCGGCAGCGCCAAGTTAGCGTGTTGCTGCCTCGCCGGGCGTAACTGACGAGCTAGCCCCCGAACAGGTGCTGGATCTCAATTCGCCGGATGGCAAGACCGACCTCAACAACATAGCGCGTGGCATGGCGCCAGCTTTGCGTTTGGAAGTGGACAGCTGCACTGCTGCCTCCTGTCCTTGGATGAGGCCTGTAGATGGTTGGCACATGTTGCCACTTTCAGCAAGTCAAAAACACATGAATTGGGATGAAGGCTAGCCGCTGTTTTGGGGGAAGGCGATTTTGGACGTTTCTTTTTTGAGGCGCTGGATTTGTTTCTCTGAGCCCCGTCTAGCTGCTGTTTTGCTTTTCGCTTGCGCTTTTTCTGTTTCTTTGCTTTGCCGCTTCTTGTCAGTCCTTGATCACGTTTAACTCCGTTGCTCTTGATTGTCTTTCTTGTATTCTTGAATGTCTTGCTTTTCTTCTTGTTTTTGCGTTTGCTTCGGTTTTTTCGGCTTCTTCATTTTTTGTTCCTTCGCCTTTCCGCTTTTATCTGTTGTGCGTTTGCCTTTGTCATTCATCATTTTTTCTTCTTTTTCGTTCTCGGCACTTGTCTGGCCTCCTTCCCGCCAAGGCCCTTTCAGCGCGACGAGATTGCAGTTTCTTTCACACCCCCACGAAATGGACGTTGGACGTCAACAACTGAGGTAAAATTGCGATTTTACTTTGTCCATCGCGACCCTTTCACACGAAATGGACGTTGAACGTCAAAAACTGAGGAAAACATGCGATTTCACCGGTCCGGTCTCTGTGTGTAAAAGCTTCTGTGTGTAAAAGCTTCTGCGTTTAAAAGCCTCTGTGTGTAAAAGCTTCTGTATGTAAAAGCGTCTGTGTGTAAAAGCGTCTGTGTGTAAAGTTGTCTGCGTGTAAGAGCCTCTGTGTGTAAAAGCTTTTGTGTGCAAAAGCATCTGCGTGTAAAAGCGTCTGTGTGTAAAAGTGTCTCTGTGTAAAACGGTCTGTGTGTAAAAGTGTCTGTGTGTAAAAGGAGTCTGTGTGTAAAAGCGTCTGTGTGTAAAAGCGTCTGTGTGCAGAAGCGTCTGTGTGTAAAAGCCTCTGTGTGTAAAAGCCTCTGTGTGTAAAAGCTTCTGTGTGTGAAAGTGACCGTGTGTAAAAGCTTCTGTGTTTAAAAGGTTCTGTGTGTAAAAGTGACTGTGTGTAAAAGGGTCTCTGTGTAAAAGCATTTGTGTGTAAAATGGTCTGTGTGTAGAGGTGTCTGTGTGTAAAAGCTTCTGTGTGTAAAAGCTTCTGTGTTTAAAAGCTTCTGTGTGTAAAAGTGTCTGTGTGTAAAATGGTCTGTGCGTAAAAGTGTCTGTGTGTAAAAGCGTCTGTGTGTAAAGGAGTCTGTGTGTAAAAGCGTCTGTGTGCAAAAGCGTCTGTGTGTAAAAGTGTTTGTGTGCAAAAGCTGCGTGTAAAAGTGTCTGTGTGTAAAAGCGTCTGTGTGCAAAAGCGTCTGTGTGTAAAAGTCCGCGATTGAGAGATGCAACGGTTGGATTGCAAATTGATTTCTGTTTTCTGTTGAGGTGGTATGTGACTGCGAGGATTGATTTGTCTTTAGTCGGATCATACAGTCCCGTGGGATTCAAGTATGGAGTTTGTGCAACCACGTTCTCTGGTCGGAGCCTCAAGTGGATACAGATATGCATTTAAAGCAATGCTGTCGACATCTTTCTTCTGTGGATATGGTCCTGCATGCATTTTTTGGAGATTGTGGTTTGTGATTGTTCCACGTTCTGTCTCTGTGGACATGGTGTTGCATTCATTCTTTGGAGATTGTGTTTTCTGATTTTTCCAATTCAAGCATGGAGTTTTACCGCACAAGTCTGTGTGCGAGCGGCATTCACTACAAAAGAATCGTTTGGTCGGAGCCTCAATATGCCTTGAAAGCAATACTCGCGACATCTTTTTTCAATTGGACCGCCGGGCGTTTCCGATACCACCTCCATGAAAAACCGGGCCTTAACTGTTACCGCCGTAAGAACCCTTCAGTGCGGCCACACTGTTTGGGGAACCGGCCAGGCATTGAAGCAGGAGCTGGGCACGCCGCCCAAAGACCCCTGCCGGAGCGTGGCAGATCTCCACAGCCACGTCCTCACCGTGCCCACGCCGGACCTGCGGGCGTCCGCCTGCATCCGCGCGGAACAAGCGGCCGCGCGTTTCGTCGAGCAGTTACCCAGTGGGCCCCCATGTTGTCACTATCTTGTGTTGGAAAAAAGAGGTGTTTTTTCCATAATGTCACTTGCATTTGAGTTTTAACATAATGGCAACATCGGATTAATCAACCCCCCCCACCAGGTAGGTAGGTAGGTACCTTCTGGCTAGTTTTCTTGACCACCCCTTAATAATAAGCAACTCTGAACCATAAAAATTTGGATATGGCTTGAGTCAATAAGATCATCATAGAATTCTATTTGATTTCATAGGATTTGATACTTACCTGCAGCCATTTTGGCTCTTTTTTTTTCCTGCACTCCTGGTTCGGCAAACCAACAGGTTCCTATGGGGAATTTGAGAGAAATGAAATGGATTCATGAAGTGGTGGTTGAGTAATCGGGGGGTAGGCCCCCCGGTTTATTAATCGGGGGGGACCACCCTTTTTTAAATTACAAAAAAACAATTGGGCAGAGGGGGTTGATTAATACCGCGGGGGTTATTATTCCTAACTTGACATTAGAGACATACCGGTTAAGCTTGGTAACGTTGATGGTTCTGTGTGACGTGTGCGAACTTTTTTGGCACATGACAATAAAACGGCACATTTTTGCATCTTAAGTTATAATAGATATATTTACATGTATATGTGCGTGGGTGACAACAGTAGCTGAAATAAAAGATTTTTGGCGGAATGTGCCAAGGACTAATATTTCCAACTTAGCAATCGTTTTCCGGCGATATTTACTATTGCTACCTGGGCTTACTACGCATTTGAACGGCCGGGTAGGAAACGATAATAGAAATTCAGAAATAGTCATCAATACAATTCAGATATACAAGCAAAAGGCTCAAAGTGCACTAGGGTTTTTTGTTTGGGACCCCCCGCTTGTTTTCCGTCTCCGCACCGCACTCCCATGGCGCCGCGTGAGAAGACCCGTGAGAAGAGTCGTACGCCCACAGAAAACAGAGCAAGACAGAAGCCAAAAGAAGAAGCACAAGAACCCAAGCCAAACAACGATGGGAAGGAAACAAAGACAGAAGAAGTTGAAGAAATGGAAGTTGACCCAGAAGCCAAGAAGAGACTAGAGTTCCAATCACCAGAATGCAAAGAACCACTCAGCACAGGTGAAGCCCCAGAACAGATTGCCAAGAAGCCACGAGCAACAGTTACTTTCCAAACACTCTCAGACAGTGATGAAGAATCTCAGCAATCCAAGGCAAGAAGCTCCAAAAGCCAACAGTCAGGCAGCGAAACAACAGAAACAACACAGATTACCAAAGCCACACGCAACATGGAACTGATGACCATGGAATCCCCCATCAGAACTGATGGCACAAAGACACCCCTGAGGAGACCTGAGGAGAAACGAAGAGAGAGAAGCGTCAGTCGCACATCAGACCACTCAAGCATCCCAGACACAAACGATGAACAGCTTCAGCGCGAAGAAGAAGCGCTACACAACAAGGCTTTGACAACAGATGACTTACAAGCAATCTTGAGAAGCGAACGTCACCGCAACAAGAGAAGAATTGAGCACCTACAAGCCACAGTCGACCATGTCCAAGACAACCTACAAGAAGCCATCTACGACATCGAAACCCAGTCCAGGATTGGTGCACACCTTGTATACAAGAGACTCCAAGAAGACGCAAAACAGGCCTCCCTTTCTTTCACAGTAGAAGGATTCCCCAAAGAAGCCACCCCCACAGACAAACACGCATTCATCAAATGGATCCTTGAAGCATCAGAATGCAATGATCCGGATGTCAAGGCCAGCTTAACAAACACCCGGGGAGAGATTAGCAACACCATCCTAGTGACGTTCTCATCGGGATGGCACAGGAACAAAACATTCCAGTGGTATACAGACCAGTACTCCCGCCGCAAACAACAGTTGTGGTGGTGGTCCCAAGCCACTGGACGTCAAACCCACAACCAAATCCGGATCCGAAAAACGCTGTCCGAAGATGCCCGAATCCGGGGCCGCTACCTCAAAGCCGCAATGGCTTGCATAGGAGACAACACCCAACAACG